AACCTAAAATTGTATATAAAATATAGACATAATACTATTTAGGGAACTTTCTGCTTTGGCGTGTCCCTATATCGGCGAAACACTATCCCCACCAGCCAGCCCACCACCAGAAGGCCAGAAATCGGGAGCGAGGAATGTCTCTTTGTATTTTGCAGGAACCTGGAGTACGTAGGATTTGAAGTTCGTTGACCTATAAGAATCTAGACGCTGCAAATGTAAAGAGATCTGATCCTCTATGCGGCATCGACTTTCGTTCGTATCGGCTATTGTTGTCTGTGATATATATTTCATGCTCCTGACATGCATGATTTAAAATTAGAAGTTGTTACGAATTTATTACTGCCCCTATAAAACTTACCTACCAAAAACCGAAAGGGCATAACTCTATGCTAGGCTGGCATTACACGAAAGGATGACATTCGGTACAGGTTGGCTGGAATTTGAGTAACCACGCTTTTTTCTACCTGAAAAAATATGATTGTAAATAAATGTTCCTTACGTTTTTGGATAAATAATCTCTCGATTAAAACATATTTAAAAAAAAAATTGCTGCTCCAATTAAAATAGCAGGAATTTTTGAAGTTGAAATTAACACTAAAAGGCTGCATACACCCTAATCACGTAACTGATAATCAATAGCTTGAGTTTGTGTCGAAATGTCTTATTTGGCGTTTTATTGTTTAGGTTCGATCCTACAGTAGACGCGACTCAGAGCACTCGGTCGAGGACATCTTAATATTAGATATTATTAAAATAAATTTTACTATGTTGGTCATTGGTATATTGGCTACAAGCGTTGATATACATAACCACAAACATAGCTATTTGAAAGCTTACAAGTTTTATAAGTATGTAAAGGACTTACGGAGCAAGTTGTGTTGATGGCAGAGACAGGCGGCGAGCAGCGCGGGCCTTTCGCAAGTGTAACGAGATTTTTTAGCCGCGTTCGTGTCTTACGCGCCGGAATGCACCAGCGTTTCCATACTTCTATTAATTAATAAACATAGTTAGGAAACAACATCAGCTAGTCGCCACTTTGTGCAATTCAGTGTGCTAGTGATAGTGAGTCGTTCATTGCGTGAAAATTGTTGCAGTACGTATGAGAACCGTTTAGTCTCCATCTATCCATCTATTACAGCCTTTAAAAGTCCACTGCTGAACACAGGCCTCCTCCATAGATTGCCTGACAAAAATCCCCCCTGATTTTGCCATAGTTGACACGCTAGGCGAGCGGGTTGTCAACCGTAGTTCTTTATTATTTTGTGTTGTTATCAGGAAGCTGCTGCTGCCCATCTCCCGCCTGTCTCCCTCTGTCACCTCTTACGACACCCACGGGACGATATGGGGGAGTAGATATTCTCACACCGCCACTACACCGACAACGAGTTTAGTCTCACACGGCTCAAACACAACAATTAATTGTTGATATTTAAATTAAATTACTTGATTATAAATCGTTATTTCTTCTTAAAAAGTACAGACTGGTAAACATAATTTACCATTCGCTTTTGTAAACTTGTCATCTCACACGTAAATTCCTTAACTCATCATCATTGTAAGTCTAATAATAATAATAATAATAATAATAATCATTTATTGACAGACAACATAGGCCCGTAAAAAAGAAACATAAGTTAACTTATAAGCAACAATGATAATAAAAAAAATTGCAATAAATTAAAATAATAATGAAATACAAAAATAGATATAAATTAAATAAATGCCATCAAATAAATTAAAACCTACATTTTAACATACTAGACCAGTATTTATTTAAATATTTCACTACAATTTGGCGTTAAAATTTGTATAATCGAGTTTCCAGATTTGAGAAGATTAGGTACTTCCAAATCTGGCCACACGATGTCTTATCGAAGCATCGAGCGTCGGTACGCGTGCCTCAGCGAACATCCTTAAATAATAATAAAAATCCTTTATTGATTTAAAGTTTTATATATTGTAAGGTACGTACGTAATGCCATAAGACTATCGATCATTATTGCTTACCGTTTACAACTACGGCCCACTTCACAATAGTTACCAAGTTACGATAATTGAATAACAAAGTCCCACTATGCTATACCCACTCGTATTTTATGAACTAATCGGATTTCCCGGGAAAAGCCCGTGACACGTCAATCGATTTAAATGTCCCAGGTCATTGGCTCGCGCGTAGGGAAAGCGCATTGTTTTTCTTAATCGTTGCATGTTTTTTTTTTTGTTCTTAATGAAAAACTAGCTGTTCCCCGCGACTTCATCCGCATGAAATTTATTACGATTGGATTTCACAGGTTTTAAATTTTTTGCGCCTAATTCTTTTCCTAAATTAAAAATAGCTTTAGTTACTCCTTATAACATCAGCTATCTGCCAGTGAAAGTCCCGTCGAAATCGGTTCTGCCGTTTCGGAGTTTAGCTGGAACAAACGGACAGAGTTACAGGCAGACAGACAAATATTTAAAAAAAATTATAAGTACAGGTGCATGGTATATACGGTAGGTCTACCGTATATACTTTCATAATATGCATTTACTAAAAAGCTATTATTTTGACATTACAAACGGACACTTCAATTTTGTTTATATGTTACTATTATATATTATATTACTATCACACATTATTTTTATATTAGCTTTTTTTCCCTTCCCCCATCGTGTTCCGTCTATTGCTTGAGTTTACAATTCCTTTTCGAATCAAGCTAGTAAAGCTCGTCCCTCCCATCTATGCCTTGGCAGCTATGCTGTCGTTTCACGATGTGTAGGTCCATCTAGTACTGAAGAAGTGAGTAACAGTTCCTCTGGCACACGGCACAATGTTCTGCACAGTTCAATTATGTTGTAATTTAAATATTACGAAACAATGATTACGTATATTACTGTTCATATTTACAAGTATTCCAACCGCAACTCGTCCCAAATACTTGGTGAAATCACTTGATCTACAAAGTTTTTGTTCGGATGTATAATGTCACAGAAATTTTTCAACGATTATATTTGCAATTTCATATTATGAATACTTAACGAAAAATCTTGTAGGGACATTTAGCTGGTTACGCGACCAGGGTCAGTTAGCGACCATTAACGGGACCTACGGCACTAATACGAAATAAATAAGAATTTGATCCTTGTTTTCCAAAGGTAATTCACTAAGTACAGAGAGGGATAGATGTATGATTTTTACCTATATTAGTTGGCAGCTTTGTGTAACCAGACAGTTAATAAATCTTAAGTTCATTCCGCCACTCGCGCTGTCGGCGCGCGCACGGTTCCATAACAACGGAAAAAATAGTGAGCACGTGTTGCGTTCGACGTAAGTAGATTGTTTTCTATTTATTTGTGGCAACTTTTTAATGTTATATTTACTAGATATATATGTATTTAACGTAATCTGTACATTTGTTTTATGTAATATAACCAAATCTTGTAAAAAATTGTGTGGTCGCTAACTAAAATGAAAATAATCTAATAATTTTAGTTTGCGGCCAGGTGGTCGCCAATTGACATTTAGAGTGAAAAACAATTTTTTATATTTTAATAGCCTACAAACCTAGTCCGGGATTTTATGGCTTTCTATTATGTTTGTTTATTTCTTGTTACATGTATTTTAGTTTACGACTACCCAATTGTATTATAAATTGTGTAATTGACGATCTCAAAATGTATGGGGATTTTAAGTGGTCGCCAACTAAAAGTGGCAAATTAACGTGTGGTTTTACGACCACTTGCATTTACCACTATATTTTTTTGTAGATGTAGATGTTTAATATTTAATATTTTTATTACAGATGTCCTCTAAAAATCGTAATAGAATAAAAACTCTGGCTTATTCACAAACAGACCTGGAAAGTGCCTTAAAAGATATAAGAGAAAGAGGACACGGTATTAGAGAAACATGTAAAAAATATAACATCCCAAGATCTACAGTACAAGACAGACTAAGTGGCAAAAGGACTGATATACTAAAAAACCCAGGACCCGAACCGGTTTTAGGGATATCCATGGAGAAAGAAGTCGTACAATGGATTATCAAAATTGCTAAATGTGGTTTTCCTGTCAAAAAACAGGAACTACTAGACACTGTACAAAAAATTCTAAAAGACTATCAGAGACCTAATCCATTTAAAGATGATCGTCCTGGTCAGACCTGGTATTCAGGCTTTCTTAAAAGAAACCCAGAAATCTCAGTCCGGTCAGCAGAAAGCATAAACAAAGCTCGTGCACGCGTTACTGAAGAGCATATAAGGCAGTGGTTTCGAGAACTTGGAACATTTTTATCCGAATCAGGACAGTCAGATATTCTCACACAGCCTGATCGAATATTCAATGCTGATGAGAGTGGTTTTTCATTATGCCCCAAAACCGGAAAAGTTCTTGGACCGAAAGGCTTTCGAAACTTGTACCAAGTAAATTCAGGGAACGAAAAGGATAATTTGACCGTATTAATTAATTTTAATGCTAAGGGACAAATGTGTCCACCGGTAGTAGTTTTCCCATATTTACGTCCACCAAAAGCGGTAACTGATAGTATGCCTCCGGAATGGATTTTGGGTAGAAGCGAATCCGGTTGGATGCGAAGCGAAATATTCTTTGAATATATAGTTAACGATTTTAATACTTGGGTTGAAAATAACAAAATACAAAAGCCCATTTTACTTCTTGTTGATGGCCATAAATCGCATATGTCGTTGGTGTTAAGTTCTATGTGTGAACAGTTAGGAATAATATTATATGCTCTGCCACCAAACACCACGCACATATTACAACCTGCTGATGTCAGTGTGTTTGCCCCATTGAAAGTAAATTGGAGGAAAGAAGTAAGAAAGTTTTTATCCAAACCTGACAATTTGAATGCTTCAGTAACAAAAACTAATTTTTGTCAATTGTTTAAAAACATTATTGAGGACTCGCAGATGGATATATGTATAAAAAATGGGTTTAGAAAATGTGGCTTGTTTCCTTTTGACCCCAATGCAGTGGATTACACGAAGTGTGTACAAAGTACTATGGAACGACTCAATAATCCGAGAAATTGTGAGCAAACGGGTATTACAAATCAAGATCTGGTTTCCACGCGAAAGGTGATACGGCATTTAGGACCAGTTCTCCGTAAGAAAAATGTAGATATCAAGTTTATTTTGAGAGAAGTGAAGAAGTTAAGAAAGACAGAGCCCAGACAGTCGGAAGTTTTGTATGAAACTGGATCTGAGGACCGATCTAATTCGACAGTTCGTTTATCAACATCTTCACTGATAGACAGTGAAACGAATTTGAGTAAGGCCAATCCTGCGACCATTACCTCTATGCCACATACTGTTAATCCAGTTAACGATAGCGATCCAGCATCAGTTATCGATGGGTCAGGTTTGAACAACACGCATTACGCGGATGAACAGTTGTTGCCTCCGCCTATTAAAGAAAATATTTTATTACATGCAAATACTTCCAAAGACATTGCGATAGAGGGATGCGATAAATACAATGTTTCTGAATCTTTATTAACTAATTTGGAATTGAAAGACCAAGCAACCATTAACAACCAAATAATTTCTAGGCAAGATACAACAGAAAATATAAATATAGAAACCAGTCTCACGAGCTTTCATTTATCTGGCAGTTATCTTGATCAAGGTACTCTAGTATCCTTAGATGATATCGTAATAATACCTCTACAATCAAGTACGCCAACAAGAATAGATTTTCAAGGTATCACGTCGCCAGCAGTAGTTACATTACCTCATGTAAAAAACAAGGAATCGTTGACCGAATCTGAAAAACCTTACTCTGAAACAGAAGTTTTGTTCAAAACACCAATGACAATAGAAGAACATCAATTGTTAGCTTCTCAGTGTACAATACTAGCAGATCAGACTATGACTGAACCTATTTTATCAACTGCAATATCAAATTCAGGCTTTTCTACTAACGTTATATCGGAAAATAACTATTCCATTTTAGGCAACACTAGCAGACATCAACTAACGTCTATGGAGTCACTTGATAATGTAATAGTCATACCTTCGGAATCAACTGCACTCAGCACTAATGCTTTTAGTAAGCATTTATTTGTGCCTGAACCCTTGGTAAAATCAAACAAAAATATTTCTAAGCCACGAGTTCCTGCTGCAATATCATCTTTGGCTTGGAGGAAACATTACGAGGAAAAAGAAAAAAAATAAACATGAGAAAAGAGAGTCCATACAACGTAAAAAAAGAAGCATCTAAAAGAAAGAAGGATGAAAGAGGCGAAGTTAAGAGAAGAAAGACTGTGAAACGAACGAAGACTGATAAATTTAATATTTTAGGAACAGAGAATAAAGAAAATAATATCACAAAACAAAGATGTGCTCAATGCGAAGTGATTTTAAATAGTGACACAGAGGAAGATGAAGACAAAAACGTTGGCTGTGATTTCTGTACCAAATGGTACCATTTAAAATGTACAGACTTCATCGGACTAAGTTATGATGAAGTTAAAAATAAGGCATTTAAATGCAATTCTTGTATTATAGAAGAAGATTAGATTAGATATTATAGAAAAACTTGATCGTAGTCAGGACTTCGTTACATATTTTTTATAGTTTTCAGTACTTAAGTAAATGATGAGTGTGTATTGTTAATTTGATATTTTTGAAATTGTTGTTTAGATTTATATTGTTCATTTGATACTTGTATACTTGTTTAAGACATGTTGTGCTGTGATTGCAGTTTAAGTAGGTATAGTTTAAATAATGTGTAGCTTTGATCTCATGAAAATATGACTGTTATATAATTATTAAATGTATGAATAATAAAGCGTTAATATTTACATTGAATAAAAAAACATTAAAATGCATGCATTACATTTTATTTTTTATTTATTAAATGCAGTTTGGCATAGTAGATCAAGTGGTCGCCAATTAGATAAGGCGTTGGTCGTAAACTGACAAAGGTGGTCGCTAACTAGCATTTCGTATAGTTTTTCATTATTTTTTAATTTAAAATGTTCTCACAACTGTATTCTCATTTTTTTAATTTTTAAATATAACTTGACAATATCTAGGACCCTGTCAAATAATTCCAATAACTGTGCTATGGATATGTGGTACTTAAATATTGACGTAAAGTTGAGTACTCCGCTAATCGGTCGCCAACTGACTAAACGACCCTACTTATTTATTTTTATCAACATATCGGTTGCAGAAATCAGCAACTTCCCAAGTAAGCAATATTTTAGTAAATTAAATAAATGTCTCCCGTAATTTCTCAGTGGCTTTAGGAGCGATTACTTTACAGCGATGCTCCAGCGCGTGTTGCAAGTAATAAATCAGCACTTAAAATTGAAATGATTTGAACAACCTAGGTTCAAATCATTTCAATACTTTAGTACTGTGAAACTTAAGGCTAGCGCGTAGCTACTGAGTTACTACGTCGGTCACGGACATTTAATAATTTTTAATTATATAATAAATAAAATAAAAATTTAGATATGTGTTAATTTTGATTATATTATAATATAATTAATAAATAATAAACTAATTTGATATTAATAAATACATTACATTAAGGAATAATGCTCTTTTTTTTCTTAGGACGCCCATCCGAAGAAATGGGCTGATTGAAAATCCATCCGACCCTTGGATCCAATCTAATAAATCCATGGGAGTAATCCAATATCACCATACCATGATGACTGTCCACTGTTAGGAATCTTTGATATAAGGACATTAGGATAGAACTATTCTTATATTGGGTGCTTACATACGAAATTAGCGTTTTGTCGTACTGACCAATTTGATCTGAAATATTTCCTCTTTGGTTAAGAATTCCAAACTCAAATTTATAAATTCATTGAGCTGGTACATTTGAGTTTTGAAAACAGTCATTAATTTGTTCTTCTTTCATTATTTTTTTCTTTGGAGTCGCTTATTACCGCACAATGGAAAACATGAAATATCGGTATATTTATGAGTACGAGTTCCACCGTGGCACCAGTGCTGCAGAAACAGCTCGAAGGATTAACGATGTGTACGGCGCTGGTGTCGCAAAAAAAAGCACGGTACGTTTTTGGTTTCGACGTTTTCGTTCTGGAAATTTCGACCTTCAAAACCAACCCCGTGGACGACCGGAGACCAAAGTGTGAAATGAAGAATTAAAGGCTATTGTGGAAGCGGATCCATCACAAAGTACTTCAGAGATAGCTGCAGGCTTTGGGGCAAGTGAAATACAAAACTGTATTAATCCACTTGAAGCAAATCGGGAAAGTAAAAAAACTTGAACGATGGGTGATGAACATGAATTGAGTGAATCGAACTTGCAAACACGCGTCGACTGCTGTGTTACTTTGCTCAACCGACACAAAAATGAAGGGATTTTAAATCGAATCATTACTTGTGATGAAAAGTGGATACTGCAAGATAATCGGAATCGCTCGTCGCAATGGCTGAACCCTGGAGACCCAACCAAATCCTGCCTTAACCGAAAATTGACTCAGAAAAAGTTACTTGTGAGTGTTTGGTGGATTAGCGCCGGTGTCGTTCACTAAAGTTTTCTAAAATCTGGCCAAAGGATTACGGCAGATATCTATTGTCAGCAACTGCAAACCATGAAGGAAGAACTGGCTGCTAAACAACAGAGATTGGTCAATCGCTCTAGGCCACTGCTGCTTCATGACAACGCAGACCACACACTGCACAACAAACAACCACTAAGTTATATGAGCTACAATTGGAATATCTGCGACATCCACTGTACTGCCCGGACCTTGTTCCAAGAGATTACATTTTTCTGGAATTTGGACAACTTCTTACAAGGGAAAAAATTCAACTGATGAACTGAACGATGCGGCAGTCCAAACCGCCTTCAAAGAGTTTATTGATTCGCGCCCCTATGGGTTTTTAGTAAAGGGATCAATGAACTACCTATGAGATGGCAAAAGTGCATAGATAATAACGGTGCATACTTTGATTAATTAAATATATTTTACAAAAAAAATTGATTTTATATTCCTCCCGTACAAAACGCCAATTTCATATGTAAGGACCTATTATTATTTTATCCTTAGTTGTCTCGTTTTAACTTTTCTTAACATATTAAATGTGAATAAACAATATGTAATTAGTAACTACTTAAATTGGAAACCGTTTAAATACAAAAAGCTAGTGCTTCGTTACTCGGACTGATGGATTACGTCGGTGAAACCTTTGGATGAAAGATCGATTTCGCACTTTTGCGCCGTCATGTATAAGTGTAGGATGTGAATTCGAATAAAAAATTTTAGCTTAATTACACAAATGGCCAAGACGCATAACGCATACATATTTCAATAATATCGATTTAGTCGCTTATAAAGAACCTTCATTGATAACAAAATATCTATTAAATCTGGCACAAGGCCAAAAAATCTCTTTCTGGTATTTTAGAATATTTTAATACTAGCACGTACATAATTAGACACCATGTTGCAAATTATTTTAGACCTTAATTTGCCTGCCTCGGGTACACCTGTAAGAGTATTTGTATCGCTTTTTTTTTCGAGGTAACTCGGTATTTTTGGAGTAAAATGCAATCAACGGTGGCCGTGCCAGCCAAACGATTTCAACACGGCTGGCCCTCGTGTTACGTTGGATATTAAAAATCTTCTTTTATCTATTGGATTTTCTATTTTCTACTAATGAGGTGACAATTATTTCACGAGAAAATTGAAAATTGGCTTTAAAAAAATGGTGGAATACCTAAAATTTATAATTAGTGGTCGGATAATCGGGCCTTTATTTACCTAAAGTTTACATTTTTAGCATTAAAGAAATAATTATGGATATGCCTTTTTGAATCCCACATGCAGGATTCCTCGAAGGTCCTAAGATTAATAAAAATGTTACCTATATTACGTAGTACTATTATTTATTCTGTGCCTGCTCGAAGTTATGTGAAAAGAAAACCGTTTTTTCGAATTCTTTCTCCTTCGATATCTCACGAACGAATGAACCGATTTTAAAATAATACTAGTTTTTACGGAATTTATCGCGTATATTTAACTTTTTAATTACCCGACGTTTCGAACGCTTTACAGCACTCATGGTCACGGGCAGGACTGAGATGTTCAACGTCCATATGTCATAGTTAACCGCGGTTACCATAGATTAAAATTTTACTTTTGTTCCGATCTATGCAGTATGAACTTATGGTATCTTGAAGTCTTGCAGTTGTATGCTTAGGTTGGGATTTAATTTTATTTATTATAGGATCCCAAGCAGATGGTAGCACCCAGCCATCTTCTCTATTGAAATTAGGATGTTTTTTGATTTCAATAGCCTCGCGAATCATCCTTGGAAGGAATCGGTGTTCTTTAGCGAGGATCTGCGGTCTATCAAATCTGATGTAGTGACGGGGGCGATCCTGTACATGTTCACAGACTGCAGACTTCCCGGAGCCTCGATTCTTCACATCAGCTATATGTTCTTTAACGCGGGTTTTTATTGATCTTTTAGTTTGTCCTATGTAGGAGAGACCACATTCACAATCAAGCTTGTACACTCCTGCATCTTGCAGTGGGACATTACACTTGACCGATGGTAAAAACTGACCAATCTTCTTCAGCGGCTTGAAGTATGTTTTGATGGAAGCGCACTTCAAGATATAGCCAATCTTGTCAGTGACTCCTCTAACATATGGCAGTACAGCAGGTACACGTTCGACTGTGGCCGGCTTCACTCGTTCACTGTGACGTAGGCGCGGGACTCGAAGCTTGTTGTCATGCAAAACTTGCTTGACATGGTGGAGCTCTGCAGCCAGGTGTTTACTGTCACAGATCCCTCGTGCTCTCTGAAACAAAGATTTACCCACGGTAGCTAACTGTGAAGGATGGTGGTGAGAATCACCGTTTAAATATCTATCTGTATGGGTCTTTTTTCTATACACAGTATGGCTCAAGGTGTTATCAGGATTCCGAATTACTAACACATCTAGAAAAGCTAAGGAATTGTTTGCCTCTAACTCCATTGTGAACTGAATTTTAGAATTTATAGAGTTAAGATGGTCTAAAAATGCAGTTACTTTATCTAAAGGTAGAATTGTGAAAGTGTCGTCTACGTACCGCTTGTAG